ACCTTTCGCCGAAAGAGGAGGGCAGAAACGATCTTCGCATTAACGGGAACATCCCGCAACTGCTTTAGGCCTTCGACAGTCACATCAAAAACTTCCACACACGTGTTTTTGACGATTATCAAGTTAAGATCATCGGGGCCGGTGAAGTTCCCTAAAATATAAGCGGATGGGATTGAGGAGTAGATAGCTGCTTCACTACAAATACTGAAATACGTAAGCCGATAACTAATTCAAGAAATGCATAAGTAGATCCTGTGTCAGAATGTATTGACATTTTGGCACTTGGGTCTATTTCACATAGAAAGTGATGGTTATGGTTTGCAGCTATCGGACATATTGCAAGATACATTCCCCAGGCTACTGCGCAAGTGTCTATTTGCTAAGACTGACTGACTGATTTTACTTGGCATTCAGTGCTGGTTGCAAATCGTCTGCCTAAAAATTTACGAAACTGTTTTGAGACACTTTTCATTCTACTGTTTTATCTCGCTCAACAAAAAGTAAAATTTGTATTTTCAGGTCATGGAAGAAGTCGTCAGTTTGAGAGCTAGTGGATTCTGGACTGCAGACGTAGGAGGCGCGCCCAAAAAGAAAAGAGGGGCAAAGTATCATATACAAACTTCATTCTTCAACGTAAGCAGTGGAATAAATGAAAGGAAAACGAATCTGCCCATTAGCCTGGTTGTTATTAGCCCAGCATGTTCATGGCTGGCGGATAATGGAACTGCGAAATAGATAGAGGTGCGACTGGCGACTATAAGCCATCATATGCCAGCAGTTAGGGCGTTAGCACGGGGCGGCAAGATGAGGTCTGGCACACCAACCGTCTTATCAATACCTTCAAAGCCCAATAACGGTACTATGGTATGACGACCGCGAGTCGCTGCTGAGTAACTGCCCTTGCGACCGCTGACTTCGGTTAGTTTATGATGAACGAAAGTGACATCTGTTGGGGACCCATTTGCACCCGAAGTTCATGAAAAGCCTCACAGCGGAGAGTAAGCTTAAAAATTCACCTGACTGAGTACAGAAAGTTACAGTAGGAATTTAGTCTACGGAGGTGTTCTGAAGGGCGAAATCATCGCTGAATAAGTGCATTTAGTTTGGTCGAGATTATGGGGGTGTTTCTTTTCTCGTGAAAAAAGTAAAAAATTATAATGAGATTCACTTGCTACGATTAGAAACGAATGTTTCAAATGGTCTTAGTATGAAATATTCGAAAACGCTGATACGACATGCGTTACGGTGTCCAATTGAACAAGTCGGCTCCACAGCTCGGGTCAAATGGCGCTGGCGAATGGTATACAATCTGTAACGCTAAATCGCGAACGGAACGGTCAGAATTCCAAATTCCCGATTCAGACTCCCAGGAGACCTGGGGGCGAACTCATCTTCTGCCCTTCATATCGACGGTGTTGCGTTCGCCCGTTCGAAACAAGCGGACAGAATGGTACTTGCAGGGGGGACTAGTCGATTACTGGCTGACTTACGTACACTATAAAGGGTGTCCCAATGGCATGTCCCAACCGCCTATTCGCCGACGTCAACTCCCATCCAGCACGACAGACAAACCTCCCCTTAGCTGAAATAACCGGACGAAAGACTACCTGATCGTGGTCGATCGTTGTCGCAACAAGAGTGGCCGGACTAAACCAGATGACCCTTCAAACAAGCACCTTAGTCAGCGCTTTGGGCATGGTTTTCGATGCGACAATGTCAAAAGTTTAATGAGCCTCGTTTATCAGAGATGGTTGTTCTTTTTTAATACGTTCTTCCAGCTTCACCGCAAATATTTGTCGGTTTGCTGTTTCAACTATGAGTAGGTGGTTAATCAGAACGCCTTCACTCCAGTAAACAGAATGTTTCCTATTTACATGCGTTATAGCAGATCGATGTATGCTGCCGGAGCTGGCACAGTCAATGGGTCAAAACGTGTACTCCCCTATTTACGCCCAACAGGCCTCTCGCAATGAGCCTTGACGTTATACCGTTTGTCGAACACAGCTGAGGCAATGAATGAAGAAATGCGACTTCGTTCTAAAGTCTGGGTCGAAGAAGGAGGCAGTAGCAAATTCCCGCTGTTGAAGTGCCCTGTCTACGTGCCAAACTGGACAATCTCCGGATTCAATCACTGGCGCCGGAGTGACTGTATCAGCCCAAGAGGTCTACAGTTGTCTGTTCACACCACTCGAGCTTGATCTCAGGATTGAATGCCAATCCATGGATTCCAAAAGATGACGACGAAGGTTGCTGGAGGCCACAAGAAATATTGGGCCTATATGACTACTTCCACGAAGTAGACCTCAAACATCAACAACACTCAATACCATCATCCTGTCACCCATTTCACAAAACACCACTACCATAATCATTGATGAGAACGATCCTTCATACTGTCTCCAATAACCACCATCGCCCCCTTCACCACCGATATGGACTGAGTTCAACCGGTCCCATTAAGACCGCGCTCCCCAATCACGCATCGGCCTAGCCGGTCACTTGCAAATCCATCGCACTGAGGCCCACAAACCAGCGTCAGGAACGCCGACACTCACGCCGCACTTCCGTCCCACCTGTGTACACACTCCTCGTGCAGTAAGCCATCGCATGGGTCTATTCGGCCATATGTTCATGCAAAAAAATTTGCAGTAAAATAACACGGCCTAGGGACCATCGTAAAACTTCGGTCCATCTGCACAAACGAACTGTCTCTTATGCACGATACCTTCTAGGGGCACATCAAACAGCGTTCATACAAAAGGAACGCCATGAAATCTGCCGACGTCGTTATTATGGGTGAGACTTCGCATGTGAGAATGTTATCGTTTCGCATGCGTGAAATGTGTGTCCTTTGGTGTGGTTTGGTACATGTGTCGAAGGAAGCAGGTCGTGCGTAACACTCGTAGACTGGCGATTTAGATTGTTCAACCACTGTGCTTAATCTCGCCATCATTTGGCCTGATTCAGACAGGCCACTAATGAATGGAAACTTAAAGAGCGAGTGAGATCGACAGTGGGAAACCCAGTTCAGTGGCAAATTAGCGCATTCCTCACTACAACATTGACGCGCTTGAATGCGTCACAAGGCACAATGAGTCATGGCCCAGAGGGTTACCAACTGATACGGTAACTCGGTCCTTCTCAGGACTGGGAATCGAACTGCAATAGTCCCTTCCCAATGGGCCTTTCTGGCGTTTTCATGTACGTTTAATCCGGGACCCTGCGTAAAGACAGTTTGGTACACGCAAAGTTAGGCCAGGTCGTATGTAGCACGCGTAGGTGGGCTGCTCAATTTCGACAGCTATAGCGCCCACACTTGCCATTTGAGCATGGTAAGTGTGGGAGGAAAGGGTTGGGTAGACGCAGAAGAAGTCTGCTTCATCACGGCCAAGTTCCCCCGAAGTCACCGGAGGGTCACCTCGCAGGACAGTGGTGGAAGCCGCCGTTCGCGACGGTCGAACTGTGTGCATGAGACAGATAAAAATGAAGACATTCGACTATCATTGCCATAGGACAATTATTTGAGTGAAATGCACCAGTTAAATCTCAATCTAGGCCGCATTCGATGCGGAAAGATATTACGGACATCTCAGATCAAGAAAGGACAGCCGAAGTGGCTTTGTACGTTTACCGTCACCAGTCCCTTAAGCTCTGTGCTGTTTCCCTAAATCTGACGACTACCTTTTCGGAGGAGACGAAAACAAGCTGTCCAAACTAGAACCTAGCTGGAGACAGTCTGTCCAGGGATGGAGGTGGTCACCGGACCGTTAATGTCCGGTTTTCATTGCTAGAGATGGGAACAGTTAGACTGTCGGTCTGCAAGGTCTGATCGCCACGTGTGGTACTAGCTGCAATATTATTGGGGCCATGACCATGATAACCTAAGAGAATGAACAGCATTTTTGGGAAACATCATTGTATTTATTGTCTGGAAACATGGCCAGAATGAAGCTGCGAGCAAAACAAAGGCAGGAAGACAATGACAATGTTGGCAGGCAGATCGAAAATGGAAGAGTCCGAGTGGACACAGGCGTATTGCAACTGGGATCTTGATGGTCGTCAACCGCTGTTAATTACTTTTTATACGGTAGTTTCCAGCTTATAATGCAATGGTAAAGGCGAGAAGACAACTATATTATGCCGTTAGATATACTGCGTCCCAGGTCCGAAAGAGCTACCGAAAAAGGACACTGGAGGCCAGGACCAAAAACAGCGTGTTAACGTGATGCGTGCTAAAGGAGAGAACTGATTCTGCTGGGTGCGAACGAAAAAAGAATACTAGGGCTTGGAGCTTACGATGGACATTTGCGCAGACCGCGCAAAAATGGTAAATCTTCAATGGCTCCTTGTATAAATACACGTCGCTACTAATCTTAATAGAACATATGCGGAAGATAAGAACACATGACTACGGACTAGTGAGGAGCTCAAGGTTGACACTTTGATGTAAAACAGAATAAAAAGCACAAATCGCTCAAATAAACAGACTGCCGATCGAAATAAGGATTAACTATCTTACCCGTCAAGGCCCTTACCACGGCCATAGACCTTTGATTTGTCACATGGTAAAACTGCGACATTTCAACGGCAAATCAAACAGCCCTCCCTAGGGTAAGGTCCTGGTGCCTAAAGGTATTGGCTATTGTTCAATTTGTAAAGGTTGCTATGACATGGTCTGAATAGTCTGGGTCTACTCATTCAAGAAGTGACTAAAAATTTCAGAATAACTTGGCCTCATTATTTCGGGAATTTCGGGCGCATTCAAATTAAACCACAATAGAACCTCTGCAGAAAGGTTTATAAATAGGGCAGTTGGGGGCGCCTCCGAGCGGAACGGCTGTAGTGTGTTCACAAGTCCGTGTTCATTAAGATGGTTCTACCGTAACGTTCGTTGCCCATCTTCTCTACTTAAACAGTAGGGTCCTTAAGCATGATCTGTAACTTCCAACAGCTTTTATCCCGTTGTTTGTTCGTTCTCTAGTAACCCCAAAGTTGTGAAAATGCGATTCCCGGGAGGCATATCAAAAGACGAGACGCTCAGTGACCTGCTTCGTCAGAATTACGACGAGTGCGATGGCCAGCCCACAGCTCAGGATCTCATAGAACTCATGGGGCACTGCCTCAAGACATTTTTTACCTTCGAGGGGATCACCTATGAGCAAATTAAGGGCACTCCGATGGGTACACCAATCTCCGGACTCATTGCCGAGGCCGTTCTGCAAAAACTCGAGGAACGACTGTTCGGGGAATACAAACCAAAGTTTTGGGCGCGCTACGTTGATGATACCTTCGTAATCATCGATCAGGATAAAATTAGCTACTATGAAGAACTGTTGAACTCAATCATCCCCGACCTACAGTTCACGATGGAAGAAGAAGTGGAGAGCAAACTTTCATTTTTGGATGTTCTCATCTACCGCCAACCAGACGGTAAACTGGCGACTTCAGTCTACAGAAAACCGACGAACACGCTGCAAATGCTCAGTTACAACAGCAACCACCCACTGCAACACAAACGAAGCTGTGTACGCACACTATACCGACGGGTGGAAACTCATTGCAGCACCCCAGTCGCCAAACTGGACGAGATGAAGCTCCTACAAGGACTCTTCAGAGCCAACGGCTATCCGCGAACATTCGTTGAACGGAGCCGAAAGCAACCAAGGATGAGGAATGAAGAACCTATTCAGCCAAAATCTTGGCGGAGCATTCCATACATGAAAGGGGTCTCCGAAGCCGTAGCCAGATCGCTCGCGCCGCTCGGAATAGGCGTTGCCCACAGGCCCGACTCAACAATCCGCCGGCAAGTGATGCGGCCAAAAGACCCGATCCCTAAACAGGAGATGTCGGCTGTTGTCTACCGACTTCAGTGTAGCTGCGGAATGTGTAACTACGTTGGGGAAACCGGCCGACGGCTGCAAACGCGCATGCACGAGCATAAGTTGGCCGTGCGAAGGTTGGACCCAAAGTCGGAGGTAGCAACCCATGCCGCCCAAATGGGGCACGTCTTCAACTTTGACGCCGTTGAAATTGTGGGCCGAGGAGACGATCATACGGCAAGGCAGGTACAAGAAGCCTGGATGTCTACCGACTGTTCTGTCAACCGCCACATCAATTTACCTCCCCCTTATCTGGTTTTAAGGACATTCTTGACGGGGGACAGTCACGGCGCGGGACAATCGGGGCCGCCAATCATCACCGCGGCCGACGAAGATGGGCGGGATTCAGGTCACGGTGACATGCGGGTCGGATGCAGCCACACAGGCGGCATTGATGGGCCAGGGTTTGAACAAAGTGCGCCATAAAAGGAAAGCTGTGTGCACGACTGCTCAGTCTCTGAAGATGGGTAGAAGAAACGACTACCCGAAACGTCAGACCTCAAATACACCTCTCCCGATGAACGCCTCCTCTTCTTTTGAAACCCCAAAGTCATCGTCAAATCAGCCTGCTCACTTTGATGGAAAAAAGTTGTCTAGGGTATCTGGAAAAACAATTCGATGCTATGAACGCCCTCAACATAACATAAGCATACACATCGTTTACGTCAGGTGGTTGATACGTTTTGGGTCGAAAGGCGATATAGATACTGGCGTGTCTACGGGTGTTATCGAGACGGTCTACTTCACGGTCAAAACTTGTATAGGTGCAAATCAGAAAACCGCCACAGACATTAGAGCAACACATCGTCGGTTCGTACACGGAGTGTAGCAACAATTTCGAAGCCCGATGGCTTACATCACGAAAGCGGACTGGAAGGATCGCCACAGAACTACAAGCTATCCAGGTAATATGCCAAAGGGTGGCATAAATTCTAAACAACGCGTTAAATCCTGAGTAAAAACAAGCTATTTCCGGGGAGGTCATATAGTACCATATGGGTCTTGAATAGATATGTCAAATCAACTCAGATGAACCGGAAACCCGGGCGGAATGGAAAATAGAAGGAAAAGTTAGAAAACAATCCCACAAATTACCACAAATATAGTATATATATGCCGGTATAACTATTATTACGTGCACGCCTGAAAATGTCCTGAAGCCCCGTTTTAATCAGCGGCCTTTCGTTTCCTTGGCCTGACTAGAATTCCGTACGGAATGAAGGCGTTTCCTAAGATATGATAATTGTTTTGTTGTCTCTGTGTTTCGTCCATTCGGATGGTGAGAGATGCGCAAGATGGACGCGAGCCGAGTGGTTTATAAGTACATAAGTGAACTGAAAAACTTAGAGAGGCACCCGTTTGAGTTTTCGTATCGTCGCGCTGGAAGAAAACATCCTTAAAGTCTGAACTCTAGTAGTAAATGGTAGGAATGGAATGACCTTAAGAAGGCATTTGATTGTTTACCACAATAGCGAAGCTTGTAATAACTCAGTCGAACTGGCGTCAGGAGTAATGCCCTGAGGTGAATTCGACGTTTTTTTAATCTGCCGGTCTCAAACTCTTTATGCCAGTCAACCAGAACTTGGGAGAGGTTGCCGATGAGAATGATTTTTCCAAAGGCTCTGTTCTTGGCTTTCCACAGTTCACTACTGCGTCGATGAACTGGATTTCGATGTCGTCATGCTTTCTGGTGTTGGCACCTTTTGGGACATCGTCCGAATTGGAGCTGACGAAAAACATTTACGGACAAACCCAGACCGACTCAAGAAATGGTATGATGACTGGCTTTTGCGTTTTATGTGAATAAATGCAGTGTCCTGTGGCTCGATACAACTAGAACTCCAGGCCACATGGCTTGGCTCTGAATAGAATGTCATTGAAGAAGTGAACGCCGACCCTCATCAGAAATCTACCCTGGCCTCTGAGATCTTGTGCACTCATCCTTAATCGATTATTTTCGCTCTTCTTGGTGTCATCTCCTCATTTCGACCCCAAGCGGTCTCTTGACGATCACGGCAGAATCTTCTGTTCTTGCCATCTGCTAATAGTTTGGTCGGTCTGCAAAGAGTTCTCAGGGTCATATATTTTCTCTACGTTTTGATGACCGCCTCAGTCTTTACTGTTCTCCCCTCGGCTGGACTGTAAGCGGACTGTGAGCGATCGCGTCTGGCTTCCTCTTGTATCGCCACTTTGAGGCGGAAAGCCTCATCCGGTTTAGAATTCTGCCTTGACGATGTCCGTTTCGAATTCCTTGTAGAGTACCATATTCAGGCAGCTCCTGTCCGATCCAAATAGTTGCCCTTTCATTGGCGGCAGTTTTTACTGCTTAAAAGCTAATCAGTTCATATTAATTTAGTCTTTTTTAAAAAAGAGTTTTTTCACTTTTCGTTAAATGTTTTTCATAAGCATGAATTGAGTATTGTGGAGACTATGTTTACTCATTCTTAAATTCACTTGAAGATTCATTTTAACTTGCTTTGGTATTGCCCTAGAGAGTTCTTAATTGGTGCATCCGGATCGTGTGTTCCGGGGGCAGCCAAGCACTGGACGACGTAACTCACCTCCATTAGAAACAAACCGCTTTTCCCCTCAGACGTTTTGTTCTAAATACCAGATCTTTACTAAATAAGATGCCTTTGCTTCAGACTTTGGTATTTGTCCATTATCCAGATGTTGTTTTAGTAACTGAGACACGGGCATCGGCTTCCGTAGCTGTCTCCGAACTCTCGCTTCTAGGCTATACATGCATTCCGAGTGATCGTCAAGACTGCCGTGGTAAGGACAGTTGTGTCTACATTAAGCAAACGCTTACATTTCGGCCGCTGGAATTCCCGAATTTTCAGCGGTAGAAGGCAGCTGCTGGCTCTGAGTTGCATAAAAAAATATGTCCCGCTTTCTCTTTGGCTGCGTCAGTCGCCCTCCCAACGCGAATGAGAATTTTAATCGTTTACTCCCACTGGCATTTCATGCTGCGACCGACTTAAGCTTTAGGCATCAATTGGTTGCGGGTGACTTTAATCTTTCTGAAGTCCGCTGGTCTTCGCCCTCCGGCCCCAGAAGGTTCGAAGACTTTCTTGGGGTTGTGGATGTTGGGATGTGGAGTCAGGTTGTCAATTTTCCCACCCGAGGATCAAGCATACCAGACCTAATTTTCTGTAGAAGCTGCTTGCATTGGTCAGTGTCATCCCTAGGCCCACTCGGGGACTCAGACCATGGCGTAGTTGTTTCAACGTTAGATCTTGAGGCTGACAAGACGTCATCCCCAAAGTATAGCTTTTTCCTCGATTTCCGATCAGTTCGCCCGACCGAATTATTAACACACCTTAATTCCTTCGATTGGACTGGTTTCTTCCTAATTTCGGATGTAAATGTTTATACTGATAAGCCGTACGAAATTTTGGATATGCCTATTTCTCATTTCGTTCCTCGTAAGAAAATAATTAATGTCGCGGAATAGGTTTTCCTACCCTTAGCCTTTCGCCGTATGTTCCGCAGACTTTCTCGTCGATTTCATCTTCGGAACGATGTTTCCTTTCTGCCCTTGATCTGTGATATTTTTGGGCGGGATACGAGATTGTCCGAAGACAAATAGCTAGCCGGAGAGGTCCAATTCACCGAAAATTGTTCGTTAAATGTCCTGAAACTTTTCTCCCGAAAAGTACGAACTCATAGAAGAGCGCAGCATCCCACCCTCCGAGACGCTCTCGGGAATCCTATATCTGATGTCCACTTAACCGTTGATAGTGTCAATGCTTTCCTGACCAAAACATTTATTAAAAACTCGACCACTCCGCTTCCGGCCATCCAGGCATTGACCGGGGCAGTTCTCGAAACTATAACTTTCACTCTGTGGGATGTGTCTGTTACGATTCGGCGGTTTCGTTAATCTCCTAGGCCGGGATATAATGGTGTCCCTGTAACTATTCTAAAAGCGGATGAAAATGCAATTTTACCATCCCTCCTATACAAGATATTTAATCCCGCTCCTGAAAGTGAAACCTATCCTACCTTGTGGAAGGAATTACACATTTTGCCTATTCCCAAGCATGACCAATCTACGTCATTTGATGACTGTCGACCAATAAACGTCCCCCACCCCACCCCCCAGTAGTTTCGAAAAATCTTAGAGATATTGACCAAAGATAAGGTGTTATGTCACTTAACAGACAATAACCTTCTGAGTGCCGCTAGCACGGACTCCTCAAAGCTCGGTCTTGTGGCACCTTTCAGTTCTCTCTCTCTCTCTCTTTGATCCTGTTGTCCAGTCTAGGGACAATGGTTTTGCACTTTACACAGCATATTTCGATTTCACTAAGGCTTTTGATCGTGTTGACCATGCTCTTCTTCTCTTGAAACTGTCCTCTTTCGGAATAGTTGGCAAACTTCCGAAGTTTATATTATCTTACCTGGGCGCTCGTACACGAGTTAAGATTTCCCATACTATCTCTAACCCCACAGGTGTGAGGTGTGGAGTCATTCTGGGTACTGTACTCGGCCCGCTATTACTTTTCCTTTCTGTTAACGATGTGCCAGAATTATTTCAGAATAGTAAGCCCTTCATGTATGTCGATGATCTGAAAGTTGTATACAGGTATAAACCGGCAGATAGTGACATCGTGCTTGAGCTCCTAAAGAGCGACCTACAGGCCTTTGTCCAGTAATACCGTACATGACGCCTTTCTTCTTTTTGGTATAAGTGCTCAGTCATGGGGGTTGGCGACGACCACAAACCTCAACTAAGTATTAACGGCCACGCCATAAATGTGTCTGGGGTTATCAAGAATCTGGGTGTATCATACCCCAACAGCCTCAATATTTCGGAGAACTGCGCCTAGATAGTCTTCAAAGCACGTAGAACGACCGGGTTTATCCTCTGAAACTTTAAAACCAGTGATACTAGAATGCGCCTTTATAACATGTACGTTCGACCTGGTCTGGAATACTGTTCATTTTTATCTAGCCCCATGAGTGCTGCTGGGCGAAAGAACATAATATCCGTCCAACATTTTTTACCAAGAGAGTTTTAACCCCGGAACTCCGGAATTTGTCGTACCAGGACCGTTACCGGCTTACAGGCCTTGATCCTTTATGGTTTCATAAATTAAAAAGGGATTATTTTTGCTATTTAAACTTGACTATAATCGTACCTTTAATTTACTCACTACTTTAAGACATCTTGTCCACCCCCGAGTAACAATCAAAGCGAGATCTGTCTATTTCTTTCTCTGGCACGTACCGTTAAATATCCTCGGTTCTTTTCTGGAAATGCAATTGCTATTTGGAATAAACGCCCCAGGAATGGGAAAATTCGACAAAATTATTTTTTGTTTAAGAGAACTATTAATCGTTTTTTGCATTCAGAAAATCTTTCAACTATTTTGGGTGCTTGATCACCAAATAAATATACAGGAGCGATGGCTTTCGTG